AGAGTGGGCTGGGAGGGAGCAGCTGTTACCTTTGAAGACCCAGTGACCTACACCTGCTCATCCCCCCCCCCCCCCCTATCGAACACTCGCTCAGCCCATAGGTCGCTTTACCATAAGACGCTGTTACATCGCTGAGTCCACTGTTTGTTACATTTTGAGTAGTTTCCCTCTCGAGCAGCGCAGGCAGGAACATGTCGATAACTTTAACTTAATTTTTTGACGTCAGAACAGCCGAGCCGGACGGGAAGCAGACGAGGCAAATGTTGCGAGGCGATGCTGCCTCTTTCGAGTACTTTTGATTGGTAAGCCGGGAGAAAAATGTCCCCCATCTCTTCTTTTTCCCCTCTCCCACCCAGCCTCCACCTCCTGTAATCTGTCCCATCTTTGCTGCTTTAAGTGGATGTCTGTTACCCATCATCCTCTCTGGCTGTCCGGCCTCCTCTGTTTACAAGGCTGCGCAGAATCAGTCCCCGTCTTCTCGCCCCTCAGCCCGTCCTCTGAATTATGTTTGCTCTCATTTGTACCAATCTCTTAATAATCAGTGTTAGTCTCTGCAGAGGGAGTTGGTATAACTAAAGGCTCTCTATATATAGTCCCCAACCACTCGCCTGTATGCAAGGGGAAATACACACTATATATGCATGAATATATGCATATTGTAAAGCTGAAAATGACTGTGTTATCATGGGTGATTTGTCGTTGTTTTATTTCTCTCTGGTTACATTTGTGGTTTTTAATGTAGCGATCAGTACAGGTTATTATTTATGTGTGAAAGGTGGTATTACTCAGTAATGTCCTTTTTATTTCAGTTGATGTTTGCTCGGCAAAAATGTTTTTGTTTCTACTGAACTTCACCCCAAGCCTATGTCCTCTACTCAGGGTATCAAACCATTGAAATCACTTGTGATATCCATAACAGGTTAAAGAGTCCCACACACACACACACACACACACACACACACACACACACACAGACAGAGCTACAGTGTATCGGATCATTTTAGTGGAGGGTCACATAAAGGTGTGCAGTCGTGACTCAAAATTCACTTTATCAACCCTCAGAGTTTCACCGTCATTCGTGAAATGAATGTTTGTAGAAGAGTTGCTGCAACAAAACTGACATCAAAACAATGTCCTTGAAGCATCCAAGTCAGCTTTAAAGCATTGTGTCGGTCGGCCTGTTTGTGTCTGAAGACCCCAGTCTGTGTGTCATCTGACTGGTGTAGAGACCCCCACGAGCAGCGGGTACTCATCTTTTGTTATTTATCCACCAGATGCATTGTAAGATATAGAATCAGAAGGGCAAAAACGTGACATTGTTTTGTTGCACCTCTAGTTCCACTTCTACCTTTCCCCAGTGGAGTCATTTCAAAAGACCCCCCCTTTCTCCTCTGGAGTTCTGGATTGTACATCATCTTCATCCTTTCTAAAGTGTTGGTGTGTTTTATTGAAGGGCTTATGCATATGAAAAAAAAAAAATCCTATCTATTTTAATTGTAATTTCATTTTCATTTTCTATAATAAACTTCTTTTTTTTTGGTTGTCTTCATTAGATCCCATATTTTGGGAGAGCCAATGTTTTAAGATGTACATTTGAATGTCGGGGAAGAAAAATGTATCCTGTCTCACTGCCTTTTTTTTTTTAATGTGTAAAGAAAAAAGAGTTTTAATTTGAGGAAAGAACTTCTACATCTGTGCCAAATCGCATGAGGATGTGCATGGATGGGCATGCACGCCCGAAATTTATCTACACGCACTATGCTAAGCCCCTCCGAGCTCAAGGGAGGGTTCAATTGTTCCAGCGGTGTGAAGTAAACTAAAAGCAAACATTGATATTTGATTTAGTTCAAAGTAAGAAGTGTTATCTCAGCACACTCAGTCACTGGCGTTAGAAGTTGAGCTAATGGTGTTAGCCTCCTAACTTCAGCTGTTGTGCGCCGAACCGCCTCATGTTCTCAATGACGAGTGACGCAATGGTCACCTCCAAAATATTACCAGTCCCATATTGTTTGGAGCTTTTTACAAGTATATATATATTTATATTTTGTGAGACACTATCAATAGAGGGACACGTTTCTTACAGAAGTTGCGACCTTTTTAAGGATTGTCCGCTGGTGTCCTGAGCTAATGGGTCCCGAGGTAAAGGCAATAATGTTTTAGAAAAAGGGGAAGATGTTTGAGTTCTTTCTTTTTTCCTCCCCCTTAAGGAGGTCTCTGTGAGGGCGGGAAACCAATTCATGTATAAAAACACAAAGCAGCAAATGTTACTATTGGTGTTTGTACAGTTCAGCTCTCGGAGTTCTGATGTTGGCCTTACTGTCCATTCCTCCTCTGTTGATGTTTTTTCAGTTATATTCTGTACAAACATATTTTGCAATAAATATGGAACTGTTTTATAAGGACTTGGCATAGATTGTGGTGCTTTTTTGTTTTTTCTTCTTTCTTTTAATTATTACATTTTTTTTCAGGATATTTTGAAGTCAAATTCTGAAATTCTCTCATAAATGAAGTCCACTGCAGACAATCAAGTGAGTCCAGTGTGATGACAAGCTCACCTCCTTGAACCTAGCAAACCTAGTTTACATTTAGCATTTTCCACAGTTTTCCACATTTGATGCAGTTTCACTGAAAATTGAGTCCCAATATACAGAGATTTTAAATGTTAATTTTACACTTTAGCGTTGTAAGTTAGTGCTTGTTCTATACACATCTTGCGTATCTCAAGCAATGCAATTGTTAAGTATTTTCAACTGCAAAATGTTTTTATTTAATTAGACATGGACCAGAAGTATTAATATTATATCTCATCATGGTGAAGTAGCTTCTAACTCACCATTATAAACGCTCACATGAATAATACTGGTTCTCAGTCTGAACCCCACGAGGAGGATAAACATGTTGGAAGTTATTTATTTTTTTTACTTCTTCCAACTGGTGTTTAAGTTTTCATGAAAATGACACTATTCTAGACAAATTTCACTGACTCCAGTTTTGGAGGGAAAAACATTAATCACTTTTAGTAAAAAAAAAACGACTATTTAAAAAAAAAAGTGTAATATTTCACATTCACATCCCCCTCTTGAGATTTTCCTCAGTTCAGGTAAACAGACGGCTTTGAGGCTTTGAGCAGGTTGTGTTTGCTGTGACCCGTTTAGGCTGGACGGTATCTGTGCAGCATCTCCAGTTAAATGCATCCGTGTGCCACTTCTTAGTCCTAATTGTGTTACGGCTCAGATGGCTTTGGCATATGACTCAGCGCTTTGGCAGTGACGTCCTCTCTGAAGACAACATGGCAGCCATGAACACTGGGTGTACGTACAATGCCGCTGCGATCTTTAACCAGTGTATTGTTTTTCTTATATATTTACAAAGCTAAAAAGAAATTGATGTGAAAGAAGCCTGTATTAGTAGTAGCCTGTTGTAATTTAGAGTAAAGAATTCAGAATTCTGTCGGTACAGTTTGTTAGGTGGTTATATGTAATAGTTATTATATTATTCTGTACCATGCAAAAACATTTTCAAAAATGAACAGCAACTTTGAAGTACTACTGCAGTTAGCAGTGTATGTCAGTATTTTTCCTTGAAAAATGACAGAAATTAAATCAGTTTTCTTTTGCTGAATTATTTCAAATCAATTTGGAATGAAATTAGTTCTGCTTATATTTGACACATTGTTGTGAATATATTCACGCTTTACACTTTAAGAAAATGAAATTCAAAATATTTACTCTTAGTTTATGCCCCAATACTTATATGTGGAAAAGCTTATTTGTTTGTTCTTAAAGTTGATTTGTTTTCCCGTCATTATAAAGATTTATAAGTTTAATCATTACATTTTACACATTCATATATCATTTGTAATTTTCTGTCAAATGTCCTTGTGATGTTGTTTTTTTACTGTTTCTCCTTTGTATATTTTTATTGTTCTAGTTTATCTCCTTTTGATGAAAGTTGTATACTGACTTTAGCTAAGTTTATTTCTGTTGATAATGCTTCTAATACAATGAAGAGTTGTGACAGTTCCTCCCTAAAACCCATCTTTGTCAACTTCATAAAATATAAAATGGTGTTTGCAGGTAAACTGTCCTATTATTTTGTCCACCTCATTTGTGTGGCAGACAGTAGCAGAGCTTGTGTTTACAGGATGTGATGAGACCACCATCTAGTGGTGAAATCAAAGTAATGGGTATTATTTCCTGAACATCAGCACCCTGCTCTCAGGGATCCTACAGGGGGCACAGGAGCTCACAGATGTGCTCCCTGAGCCTCACGTGTGCTGTGGCTTCCTCTCCTTTCTGGTATCTTCATTTGCTGCTCTCCTGCACAGTGCAGTCACATCATTCACATCCACACTGACAGGCTTTTATTCATTACACAACTTCAACTGACAAGCAGAGTTTTTAAGTTAAACAAAAGTAGAACTAGACTAGAAACACATGTCTCATTGTAGATGACTCACAAAGAACAACATGTTTAAAGAAATATTTAAGTTGAAACTTTTCAACATTTAGAGGGATGTGTTTGTTCGCTTTCTTGCTGAGAGTTAGATGAGAAGATTGATACCACTTTGTACATTAGGTTGCCAACCAACAGAGACTTCAGGGAGTCTGTCTACAATGCCCCCCCTCAAACCACACCCTGTCACTTCAGTTTTTGTACGACTCAAACAAACATATAACGTGATCAGTCGTGCTGCTTTGGTAGTGTAGCTTTAGAGGTGCTGGTAGATTGTTCCTGCTGTCTGTCCCTTTCTTGCCAAGAAAATCAGTACGACTTTGGAACCAGGAGGCTGTTAGCGTAGCTTGGAATAAAGCTAACTTGTCCTCTAGCATTCGTAAGTTTTCCGTAACATGTTACAGAAAAAAAGAAGTAATCAGATCACTCCGGTCCGGCAAATGTAATACAGGACAAAAAGGGACATTTGCATGAGTAATATAATTTAATAAATGGGTGCTGCTGGAAGGCATAACTTGTACAGCACTGTGATGTTCCCTTTTCTGCTTTACATAGAAAATATTTTTTAATTTCTTTATTTTCACTTTCTCTTTTTACATTTTTAATATTGTGATACTTAGATTAGGTTCTTGACTACATTTTGTTTTAACAGGTAATAGGTAATTGTATCGGAATACATTTTTTAAGTAACCCTCCCGACCCTATAAGAGTATGACATGTATAACACATATTAATATGTGAGATTTAGGTTCCCCCCTGCTTACAGTATAACAGCTAAGCTAAACTAATTGGCTGCTGGCTGTAGCTTCATATCTACTGTACAAACATGAATTATTATTGAATATATTCTCTCCTTGGTCATAAATTAGCGTTCATGTGAAATGATTAAATGATTTCCATCAGAGCATTACTGTATAGCGTACAGTTCACGTAAGCAGCACTAGAACTTTGGTTCCTATAAACTGGTTCCTAACTCAACAAGGAAGAGACGACTTCTCTAACGTTACTTACAGGATGTTGAATGCCGATGAGACATTACAGATGGATCATGTTTAAAGCTTTTCTGTCTGAGTTAACGGCCTTCTGGTGTTCTGTTACTTGTTCCTGTTTTCTTTCCGAGAAATAACTCAAAAATGGATGTAAAGACAATAAGGGGAAATCATTTAGTGCATGCACACGTTTCACCTCTCACGTCAAAATCATTTCACTGGTGGGAGAAAAAAAAAAGGTGGTTTGATGTTATATCTTTTTTTTTTAAATAAATTATAAGTAAATACATATTCAATTTTTTTTTAATTGTTATTAAGAGAATCATGTGGAGGGTAATTTGTGTACTTGAGCATACTTTTTATTTAGATATTGTTATTTAAATAATAGATTACTTTACAACATGGGCTGGGTGAATACCAGGTAAATACTCGATTCTGATTGTCTGCAGGGTGCCATTAATTCCTGGTAAGGCACACCTACCAGGTAGCTATAGTTGGGTAGTTCCAGTGAAACTGTGTGTTCAGCATTCTAAATCAATGCGCTGGCTACAAAAAAAAAAGTGCTATTTAATGTTAAACATACTGTCACATTATATTTACTGTTTGTCACGCAATGTTATTGACTTTGGTTCTTGTTCGCATAACATTAGCTTTCTGGCTCGTAGCTGAGCCCCCTGATTCTATTGAGATGAGCCAAGTCGTATCCAAGGTCATTGCTGATTACAGTGAACAGTTAAAGTACAGTGAGTTTGCATTTTATATTTGTTGTCGACCTTATAGGAACACGGGTCTGTGATTAAAAAAAAACATGAAAAATTCAGTTCACTTACTTGAAGAAGGGAAATGGTTGAATGTGTTATCACAGGTTAGTGATACAAGGTAGATGTTTATTAAACTGCATGCTTTGCAGTAACGCGATGTCACACATAACTCCATTTTACATGATTTGCTTTAGTAATAGGTTAATGTTCAGTACCACACAATTAGAGAAGTTAAATGTTATTTATTTTTCACCACTGCAGTTTGTGGCGATTTGTTTTCACAAAGTCAAATTTCGCACACAAAAATAAATAAAACCTAATTTTAAGAAAGAGAGGATACTAATTTATGATCAATTAGTATTACCTTAATCTGTCAATACCATACATTTGCTGAATGCTAAAGACTAACTGTCACAAAGCTGCAGCCAGGTCCGTCAACCCCTGAGAATCCTGTTTCTTACCCTCACAGTAAATGTGAGTCCACATTTACTTCTGTAGTTTCATCATTATAGTGTTAAACAAACATCCAGCAAACTGTAATGTAACTTTTGGAATTGATATATTCAAACAACATAAAAAAGGCCATTGTTTCCTCCAAGCTCTTAGTTCATTGGTTGATGATTCATTATCAAAATAATAGCTCTGCACCTGTTTGTCCTCTGGACTTTATACAGTCATCAGGTTTAGATGTTTTGGTGGAAAATACCACAAGGTTGCCGGGACTTTTCCGTAGCGTAGGATTTAGTGAATGGACTCTCCTGCAGCAGGAATAAACCAGCAATTCAAGATGAGGTGGCTTTGTTTACACTGTCACTAAACACCTGTTGTTCCATCAACAAGTTGCGCTGCATCGGTTGCTTTTCACTCCACATGCGAATGAAAAATCACCAGCAGTTGAAGAATTTCTTTTGGATTTGCTGATGCGGTTTGTGTCACCGATAGGGAGGTTTGGGTGGAGGGAGACGGTGTTGTTGCTATTATCTCGTGCACGCAGCGACTGCGTGTTCCCCACGGAGGTCCCCAAGTTTCATCTTACGGCAACTCATCTGAGAGCAAAGAGCAGATGTTGATTATAAAAGATGGACGTTATTTGTTTTTAACATGAAGTCAGACCAGCCAGATAACGATCACTGACAGTAAATGAGACAAAGGGAAGAGAGATGGAGGAGAATCCTCCACCGAAAACCACACAAACAA